TACTAACAAGAAAGTAAAAAGACAACTCATAAGAATAGAAGCCAGTATCTGCAAAACATAAGTTTCACAAGGGACTTTTATCCCCTTTTATATGAAGAACACTCACACACACACACACACACACACACAAAGAACACATACAACTCAAGAATAAAAAGACAAATAACCCAGTTTTAAAATGGCAACAGGATCTAAATAGACATCTTTTTTGTTGTTTTTTTTTTTTGAGACAGAGTCTCACTTTGTTGCCCTGGATAAAGTGCTGTGGCCTCATGATAGCTCATAGCAACCTCAAACTCTTGGGCTTAAGAGATCCTCTTGCCTCAACCTCCTAAGTAGCCTTGACTACAACACCCATCTATTTTTAGAGACAGGGTCTCACTCTTCTTCCAGTTGATCTTGAACTCCTGAGCTTAAGCAATCCACCTACCTTAGCCTCCCAGAGTGCTAGGATTACAGGTGTGAGCCATCTCCCTGGCCTGAATAGACAACTTTCCAAAGGAGATAAATAAATGGCCAATAAGTATATAAAGACATGATTAATATCATCAGCCATTAAGGAAATGAAATGTAATCAAAACTATAACGAGTATAACTTCACACTGACTATGATGCTATTCTTTATATGTGAATTTATATTTTATGTAAATAAAGTATCTTATATAAATATGAAATAGATTTAGGAAAGCATATATAAAAATAAAGTTATATAAACATATAAAAAGATAATAACACATGTTAGTGAAGATATAGATTAACAGGACTCCTCATTCACTGCTGGTGGGAATGTCAAAATGGTGAAGTTACTTTAGAAAACCAATGGTAGTTCCTCAAAACGTGAAACACAGAGTTACCAAATGATGTAGCCTTTCCACTCCCAGGTATATACAAATAAAACAAAATATGTCCATACAAAAATGTGTATACAATACTGACAATATTCATGGCAGTATTATTCAAAACAGCCAAAAAGTGGGGAAAATAAAAAGTGGAAACAACCAAAATGTCTACCAATCGATGAATGAACAAATTACATATGGTATATCCATACAATGAACTATTATTCACCTATAAAAAGAAATGAAGTACTGATAACATTTATCTACAATATTCATGAATTTTAAAAACATTACTCTAAGTGAAAGAAGCCAGTCACAAGGACCATACATTATATAATTCTATTTATATGAAATATTCATAATAGGCAAGTCTATACCAAGAGAAAATAGAGAAGTGGTTGCCTATGGCTTAAGGAGACTGAGGAAAATGAGGAGTGATAAATGAGATTCCTTTTGGGGGGGGTGACAAAAATATTCTAAAACTAAATATTGTAGTGATTGTACAACTCTGTGAATATACTAAAAACCACTAAATTACACATTTCCAATAAACTAATTGTAAAGTTTATCAAGTGTTTCAATAAAGCTAAAAAAAAAAAATCGGCTTGGCTCCTGTAGCACAGTGATATGGCGCCAGCCACATACACGGAGGCTGGCGGGTTCGAACCTGGCTCGGGCCAGCTAAACAACAATGACAACTGACTGCAGCAAAAAATAGCCAGGCGTGTGGCGGGCACCTGTACTGGGTGCCTGTAGTCCCAGCTACTTAGGAGGCTGAGGCAAAAGAATCCCTTAAGCCCAAGAGTTTGAGGTTGCCATGAACTGTGATGCCACAGCACAATACCGAGGATGACACAGTGAGATGCTTTCTCAAAAAAAAAAAAAAAAAAAATTCCACTAATTGTTATTTAGTTTCTACTCCTATATATTTCCATCAGCAACTGTAGCTCAATTATAGAGTGATTCTAAAGAGCAGGCAAGAACGCACACATTGCTGAAAATATACAGGATTACTTTAATAATCATTTATTTCTCCATTTTCATAGATGACATAGCAAGACCCTGTCCCTTTAAAAAAAAAAAAAATCAACCTGAGCCAGACATGGTAGTACATGCTGATAGTCCCAGCTACTCAGGAGGCTGAGGTAGGATCATTTGAACCTAGAAGATCAAATCTGGCCTGCAAAACATAGCAAGATCCCAAGACCCCACCTTTTTAAAGAAAATCAACCTGGCAGCAATAGGGAGATGAAATGTAGAGGAGTCAGAATAAAGGCATGAAATTTGAATAGGAGGTCATGTTAATGCCAAGTCTTCAATTGATGAAGTGATAATAGCTTTTTTTTTTTTGAGACAGAGCCTCAAGCTATCCCCCTGGGTAAAGTGCCGTGGCATCACAGTTCACAGCAATCTCCAACTCCTGGGCTCAAGCAAGTCTCCTGCCTCTGCCTCCCAAGTAGCTGGGACCACAGGCATCCGCCACAACACCTGGCTATTTTTTTTGGTTGCAGCCGTCATTGTTGTTTGGCGGGTCCAGGCTGGATTCGAACCCGCCACCTTAGGTGTATGTCGCTGGAGCCTTAGCCACTTGAGCCACAGGGGCCGAGCCAATAGCTTTATCTAAGATAAAAATAGGGAGAATGGAAAAGGGACAATTAAAAAATAATATAAAGGAGGTAATCAGTTAGAATGGTTATTAAAAAAATAACAGGTGCTGGTAAGAATACAGAGAAAAATGAACACTTACATACTGTTGGTGAGAATGGTAAATTAGTATAACCACTATGGAGAACAGCCAGGAGAGTTCTCAAAAAACTGAGAACAGACCTACCACAGATCCAGCAATCTCATTCACTACAGGGTATTTATCCAAAGAAATAGAAATGAGTATATTAAAGGGATACTTGCACTTATGTTTTTTGCAACATTATTCACAATAGCAAAGATATGAAATCAACCTAAGTGTCCATTAATGAATGAATGGATAAAGAAAATGTGATATATATGTATAGACACAATAGAATACAACTCAGACATAAAAAAGACTAAAATCACATTATTTGCAAGAACATGGAGAATGGGCCAGGCATGGTGACTCACACCTATAATCCTAGCACTCTGGGAGGCAGAGGCAGGAGGACTGCCTGAGGTCAGGAGTTAAAGATCAGCCTGAGCAAGAGTGAGACCCTGGCCCTACTAAAAATAGAAAAAATTAGCCTGGGGTTATGGTGAGTGCCTGTCATCCCAGCTACTTAGGAGGCTGAGGCAGGAGGATCACTTGAGCCTTGGAGTTTGAGGTTGCTGTGAGGTAGGCTGACACCAGGGCACTCTAACCTAGGGCAACAGAGTAAAAGGAATGATAGTTACAGAGGCTAGAAGGAAGGGGAATTTGGGAAATAATGGCCAAAGTGTACAAAATTTCAGACAGGAGGAGTAAGTTTGTTTTGTTTTTGTTTTTTTGAGATCTAGTGCACTGTGTGGCAAATATAGTTAATAATAGTCATTTCAGACTTGCAAACACTGTAAATTTCAAATGTTATCACCACAAAGAATATTAAGCATTTGAAGTGATGTATTAATTAGTTTGCTTTAATTATTCCACATGGTAGTTATAAATCATATCACTTTGTACCCCATAAATACATATAAAGATAAACTGTCAATTTATAGTTTTTTTTTGTTTGTTTGTTTGTTTTGAGACAGAGCCTCAAGCTGTCCCCCTGGGCAGAGTGCCGTGGCATTACAGCTCACA